GAAAAATGTCCTCCGGTGAGGATAAAAAAAAAAAAAGAAAGTTTTGAAGTTGGTCAGACAATCTTTTACTATACTGATTAATACTCACCAAAATCCTGTCCTGGCCAGTGTGGTTCAGTGGTCAGATCATCAGCCTGAGGACCAAAGGGTTGCAGGTTTGATGTTTCTCCCTCCTCCCTCCTCCCTCTCTTCCACTCTATCTAAAAGTCAATGGAAAAATATCCTCTTGTAAGGATTAAAAAAATAAAAAAATCCCACTGGAAGTACCAGTACCATGACTGTGCTGATGCCTTAACCATATTTACGTAGCTCTTACTGTAGTATTTGAATAATTTTTACAGCATGTCGTAGCTCACAAGGCACTTTCATGCCCATTGTGTCATTTGCTCTTCACCATAAACTACAATGAGTAGTGAGGCGCCATGCCGTGGAGGCTGCACAGGACAAGTCATTTCAAGGGTCATACAGAGCCTTCCCTTCTCAGTGATGGGCTTTGCACTCAGAATCTGCAGGTTGAGCCCTGGCCAGTTTGGCTCAGTGGTAGAGCGTTGGCCTTCAGTCCAGGGAGACCCGGGTTCGGTTCCTGCTAAGGGCATGTACCTCGGTTGCAGTTTGTCCCCGGCCCTGGTTGGGTCATGTGGGTGGCAGCCACTCGATCTGTCCCTTTCATGTTGATGTTTCTCTCTCTCTCTCTCCCTCCCCACTCTATATGAACAAAAAATGGAAAAATGTCCTTGAATGAGGATAAAAAAAAAAAAAGAAATGGCAGGTTGTGCTGGTGAGTTCTCTTAAAGAGAAGTACTGTACTTATAAGGCTGATTTTTAAATGCAAAGATTTCTTTAAGTGGTTTATTCTCACATTTTCTTGCATTTAACAACCATCTGGAAAACTGGTTAAAAACATACTCTTAGGCCTCAACCCCAGAGATTCTAATACAGTAGGTCTGGGCATCAGAATTAACATTTCTAACAGGTTTCCAGGTGATGCTCCTGCTGCTGGTCCACAGCCCATACTTTGAGTAGCACTGTGTCAGGAGTTTGCTTCATGTCATTATTTCAGACTTGTCAGCTCAGCTTTTTACCTTCAGAATTTGCTTAAATTGTCCAGGAAAGCAGTTTTCTTGAAATAATATAATTTTAAAAACTGCTTTTTCACCCTGGCCAGTGTGGCTCAGTTGGTTGGAGCATCATCCTGTATATCAATGGTTGAGGGTTTGATTCCTGGTCAGGGCACATACGAAGGTTACAGATTTTTTTTTTTTTTTTATACTCATCCGAGGACATTTTTCCATTTTTTGTTCAGGTAGAGTGGGAGGGAGAGAGAGGAACAGAGAGAGAGAGAGAGAGAAACATCGACGTGAAAGGAAAACATCGAGTGGCTGCCACCCGCACGACCGACCAGGGCCGGGGATAAACTGCAACCGAGGTACGTGCCCTTAGCGGGAACCGAGCCCAGGTCTCTCTGGACCGCAGGCTGATGCTCTAACCGCTGAGCCAAACCGGCCAGGGCGAAGGTTACAGATTTGATCTCTGGTTGGGATGTGTGAACTGATCGATATTTCTCTCTCATATCGATGTTTTTCTCTGTAAAAAATCAGTAAAATGTTTTGAAATTGCTTTTTATATGATTTCAAAGATTGTGATCCATTTACTTAATCATTTCTTAAAAGTCCTTCATTGAATATCTGCTGTGTACTAGATTCAGAAAATACAAAAATGAATAAAAGAATTATCCTTGAGAGAAGTTTCTGGGTGGAGCAAGGTTGGGATATCGCTCCTGCATTTAATGGGGACTTAAAATAATTAGAATTCTACCAATGAAGAGAGGGTATATGAAACACTGGGTACCTTGTTATCATTTCTTTTCTGCTATCAGCTTTTTCCTCCTTTCATTATTTACAAAGCTGACTTGTTTTTTTGAGTTTAAAAACAGGTAGACCAGAAATAAGAAATGTTTTGTGTTGTTTATTTGTTGTTGTTGTTTACCATTCTAAGCATCTGTGACCAATGTAAATAGCAGGATCTCAGCTACATGACACTGTACAAGGTCTTGTAGAATGGACCTCAGAGACTTATTTGAACAAGATGGACATATACAGATGTCAAGCAGGCACTGATATTACAGCTAAATATATACATACAAAGGGGAATAGTAAGACTAAATTATACGCATTTATATCAAACAAAGCATTCTGATCAGAGGTGGTCTAGTGAGATCTGAAATGGTAATTACAGCCCAGCTGGTGTGGCTCAGTGGTTGAACGTCGACCCATGGATCAAGAGGGTGCCAGTTCAATTCCTGGTCAGGACACATACCTGGGTTTTGGGCTTGATCCCCAATAGGGGACATGCAGGAGGTAGCCGACTGATGTTTCTTTCTTTGCTCCCTCTCCCTTTCTTTAAAAATCAATTAAAACATACAGTTGGCCCTCGTTTATCGCTATTAATCAGTTCCAGACTCTACTGTGATAAATGAATTTCTGCTAAGTAGGATTCTTTATTTATATACAGTCGTCCCTCACCACTTTGCACTTTGACTTTTATAGTTTCATTCTATCATGGTTTTTCAAATACTATATTTGAAAAAAATGCAACAGAGTGAAGCCGCGAAAGTTGAAGCGTGAAGTGGCGAGGGATGACTGTATTTTATTGTTTTCTTTTTAAAAAATTTTTTTATCTTTATTGTTGAATGTATTACAGATGTTCCTCATTTCCCCCCCATTGACCCCCTCCTCCCCACTCCCGCCCCCCTCCTGCCTTTCCCCACACTGTTGTCTGAGTCCATTGGTTATGCATATATGCATATAAGTTCTTTGGTTTATTTCTTCCCATCCCCCAACCCCCTTCCCTTTGAGGTTTTTCAGTCTAGCAACCAATTTGTAGTTCTTAATCCCTTCACCTTTTTCACCCATTCCCCCAACCCCCCTCCCATCTGGCAACCAACAAAATGTTCTCTATATCTATGAGAAAGTTTCTGTTCTGCTTGTTCATTTTGTTTGTAGATTCAGTTGTCGATAGATATGTATTCGTTGCCATTTTGTTTGTTCATATTTTTTATCTTTTCCTTCAAGAAGACCCTTCACCATTTCATATAATAATGGTTTGGTGGTGATGAACTCCTTTAGCTTTTCCTTATCTGGGAAACTCTTTATATGGCCATCGATTCTAAATGACAGCTTTGCAGAATAGAGTAATCTTGGTTGTAGGTTCTTGCTTTTCATCACTCTGAATATTTCTTGCCACTCCCTTCTGGCCTGCAAAGTTTCTTTTGCGAAATCAGCTGACAGTCTTATGGGAACGCTCTTGTAGGTAACTAACTGCTTTTCTCTTGCTGCTCTTAAGATTCTCTCTTTGTCTTGAACCTTTTGCATTTTGATGTTGATGTGTCTTGGTGTGGGCCTCTTGGGGTACATCTTGTTTGGGACTCTCTGTGCTTCCTGGACTTGTATGTCTGTTTTTCCTTCACCAAGTTAGGGAAGTTTTCTGCCATTATTGTTTCAAATACGTTTTCAATTTCTTGTTCTCTCTCTTCTCCTTCTGGCACCCCCAAATGTGAATGTTGGCACGCTTGAAGTTGTCCCAGAGGCTCCTTACACTATCCTTGTTTTTTTGGATTCTTTTTTCTTTTTGCTGTTCTGATTGGGTGTTTTTTGCTTCCTTATATTCCAAATCGATGGTTTGCTTCTTGGCTCTACCTACTCTACTATTGAATCTCTGTAAATTATTTTTTATTTCAGTTAGTGCCTCCTTCATTTCTGACTGTGCATTCTTCATTTCTGACTGATCCTTTTTTATGCTCTTGAGGCCCTCACTAAGTTCGCTGAGGTACTCACTAAGTTCATTGAGCATCCTTATAAGCAGTGTTTTGAACTCAGCATCTGTTAGGTTGCTTATCTCCATTTCGCTTAGTTCTTTTCCTGGAAATTTTTTCTGTTCTTTCATTTGGGACCTGTTTCTTTGTCTCCTCATTGTGGCTGCCTCCCTGTGTTTGTTTCCATGTATTACTTAACGAGAGGTATGGGGCTAGCTGAGCCCAGATGCTGCTTATTTGAAAGAATTTAGGAAAACCTGAAGCAGGATCCAAGACAGGCCAATCCTATAGTTAAGCAACTGGCAACAGCTTGGGTGGGCCTGAAGGTTGGGTGGGGCAGGGCCTCAGGGAATCACCAGGGCGGGGCTACCAGTGTGAGCCAGGTTGTTGGAGTCCCAGATATGGCGACTATCTGCTGTCCCAGGGAAGGGCTCACCACAGGAACAAAGGCCTCTGACAGCAAGTTTGTCCCGGAGAAAGCCCCCTCTCCAGCCCTCGCTCCAATGCCAAACAGCTCAGTTCTTCCCTGTGTGTCTCTGGCGCCCCTGCAAGCTTAGAGGGAGAGAGTCCAATAAGTCTGTGCGCGGGCCCTTAGCCTCCCTGAGCCTCAGTGCCCGCTGGTTTTTCCAGCCAGAAGTTATGAGGACACTTCTTCCTGGCACTGGAACCCTGAGCGGGGCACCTGGTATGGGACGGGGACCCCTCAGTGCTTAGGGAGGACCTTCCCAGCCGAGGTGTCCTCCTGATTTTTATCTGCCACACGTGGGTGTGGGACCAGCCCTGTTGCGCCTCTGCCCCTCCTACCAGTCTCGATGCGGCTTCTTCAATTCGTAGTTTTGTAGGACTTCCATTCAGCTTGATTTCAGGCGGTTTTGAATGATGGTTGTTCTATAGTTTAGTTGTAACTTTGATGTAGTTGTGGGAGGATGCGATACCGCGTTTACCTACCCGCCATCTTGACCGGAAGTCGGAACGACTTTTTTTTTAAAAAGAGAGGTGGTAATTACATTTTCTCTGGGGTAAAGAAAATTACATTTTCTCATTGGAGAATGAAGAAATAGGACAAACACTGGATCTTTGAAGTGCCTAGAGGACATATCCCCGAGTTGTTTTTCTGTCGTATCCTTATCTTAGGCAGGAAACAGACTCCGCTAACACTGTGTTTTAAACCTCTCTTTCTTCCTTCCAGTGACTGCCATGTGGCATGGGTCTCTGCCCAGGCTCGTAATGAGACGGTAGCAAGGCGGCTATGGGATGTCAGCTGTGACCTGCTGGGCATCCCTATGGATTAGGTGGTGGCAGTTGGACCCACAAGAAGTGTGCAGCAGACTACTCTGTACTCCCAGCCAAAATGTTTCTCCTTCAGGATGGCCAAAAACTTGAGCACAAAGAGAGCAAACTTTCCAGCCTTGCCAACTCGATGTCTGATAAAATCCCAGTGTACACTGCCAAAGTCACTGAACAGCCTTGCATTTGTCCAGATTTACTTTGCTCCTGTTATTGCCAGTTACTAGAGATACCATAGGATAAATACCCCCTCATAACCTGCAAGCTCATACTTTTCTTCTGAAACCTACTACTAGGAGAACCTAAGCTATGTCAGTGTTGGACCAGTTTCTGCCCTCTGTTCACAATGTTCTTCCCAACCAACCAATCTTCTCTTCAAGAGGGCCACACTGCAGCCTCAGCTCAACGCCAGGAGTCACAGTGGCTTGGCTCCAGACCAGGACTTGTCCCTCACCTCTAAGGAAAACCATTATGGTGCCACATCTGAATTCTTCAGGAAATTTAACTAAATCTGGATTGTGGCAAGATTCTATCTCTGACAACCTAAAGCCACTGCTAAGACACTTTCCTATGCCTAGACCATGGAAGAGCTTCCTTTTCTAAGAAGTTTGTGGGTTTTGGAGGATGGCAGAAATATGGGGGAAGGCAGAAATAAAAATGAAATTTAAACTAATTTTCCTGCTATTTCTCTGACCAGCAAGGAGGTAATGTAAGGAGCAGTTTGAGAAGGTAGGCCTCCTGACTTCAGTTAGTGACCCCAGATCCACAGAGGCCTCCTTTTTGTCCCTTAGTTTATCTTAGAAAATCAGAAGACAGGAAAGGCTATTTGATGATTGTTATTGAATATACGTGCATTTTTGTAGTTGGGAGTATTTTCACAAAATTCAAAATAGCCAAAAAGGAATAGTATTAAACTGGACCCTGATGCAGTTAAACGATCAGATGGAGCAAGCCAGTGTCATCCAGTCTTTGATACAAATGGGTAGAGCCGCAAGGGGAAGCAGACTCTGTATATGTTGATAAATACTCACCAACAAGAACATGGGAAACAGAAAGGAAGTTCAAAGATGATAAGCCTGGAAGATAATGAAGGGACTAGTTATATTAGAGGAAAAACGCTGAAGATGGTAATACCCAGCTATGGAAGAATTAAGGGTGAGCACCTGAATTAGCAAGACTGATAGGGCACTATCTTAAACACCAGCCAACCAATGTGGCAGGGAAAATAAAAAAGAAAAGAAAAAACAAACAAACCCTCAATTCCTTATTCAGCAAAATTATCTTATGGACAGATATTGGTAATTACAATCAACTTAATCTTAACCTTACATTATCATGACAAGATTAAAATGTCTATTTGCTAAAAAAAAGTACATTTTATTTGGAGAACTTTTTAAAAAATGTTTTTATTGATTTTTAAACATTTTTAAAGTGTTTTTATTTAAGAAATAAATAAAAAGAGAGAGAGAGAGAGATTGATTGGCTACCACACAGACACACACAAACACACACACACCTCAACCAGAGATGAAACACACAACATAGGCATGTGCCCTGACCAGGAATCTAATCAGCAACCTTTCAGTGCATGGGACAATGCTCAGTCAATAGCCACACTGGCCAGGGCTTATTTGGAGAACTTTTATTAAAAGCCATGTTGCCAGCCCTGGCCAGTTTGGCTCAGCAGTTAGAGTGTCGGCCCATGGACCGAAGGGTCTCAGGTTTGATTCCCGGTCAAGGGTGTGTGCCTGGGTTGTAGGTTTGATCCCCAGCCACAGTTGTCTCGTGCTCATGCAGGGGGCTGCCAGTTGACATGTCTCTCACAATGATTTTTCTCTCTTTCTCCCCTTCCCTCCCTTCCACTCTAAGAAGCAATGGAAAAATATCTTCAGGTGAGGAAAAAATATTTTTAAAAAAGTACTGTTGCCAAAGGAAGTCTGAGGAGTTGCTACTGTTTTCATCACTTGTTTACAGTATGTTATTCTAATAGGGTTTGTGATTTTCTCGGAACCACGACTATAGATTCACTTTGGTAGGGAAAAGAGTTATAGGACCACAGTCTTCTCATATTTGTAAATTAATAATCTTGTTGAACTTGTTTTGACCATTAAACTATATATTTAGAAGAGGTCACTTTATGGAAATATTGGAAAACTTGATAATAGTGCAGTGGAATAACTGAATTAATATTTTACTTAATTTATACTGAACTATCAATGACAAATAAAAATGTTTTATTATATATTGTGTTTTAATTTACCAAAAGAAAACTATAAGAATTAAAGGAAAGTTTAGAGTCAACAGAAGAAAGCAATTAAATGAAAGTTTAATTTTAGTCGAAAGAAGAAAACACTTCATTATTACAGTTATGCAATCATTTCTCATTCTAAAGATAATGTGTCCCAGAATCTTGGTACAGTACAGTATCAATTGAAATGCCATTAACTTCAGTTGTGATAGTTTGATCGTTCATTCACCCATTTTCTACTTTTCTTTTGTAATAGTGTTCAAAGATTACTTTTTCCATCCCAGGTTCTTTCTCCTTTTTGTACTTGCCCCTTCTATAACAATGCTATGAACAGCCACTAAACAATCTCAGGCTTTGCTCCCTCTCTGTGCTTATTAGGAGCTCAACAAGTTTCTTGAATCAATGGTTAATGAACTCAATCTAAAAAAAAATAAGGGTCCAGGAGATATAAATCACGAAATCATTTTCTCCTGAACAGTCACATATCTTAATATGTGTGAGCAGTTTTAAGTATTGGGCTCCCAAACATTTCAGAACGGGCTCCATAGGCGAACCATGAAAGTGGTGAAAATACGAATCCCCTTCCACTGAACCATGAAAACCGATGGAGTGCAGGAAAGGACTTTGTGAATGTTAGCGCGTTACACTTAGTGGGAATGAGGCCTGAATCCGGGTCCCCCTTGCTCACCACATAAATCACCCAAGCGCAGTGAATATTTTATACCAACGTATGCCCAGACCCTTGTAGTCACTGTGTTTAACATTAACAAACATCTGCTGAGTGTATATTTGGGGTCACACTGCCCCGGGACCATTTCTGAAAGCAGGCGACCCTGGGCACTTGACCTCCCCCCCAAAAAAGGGCTTTAGGGCTCGAGGGCAGGCATGAACCTGTCCCGACTACCTTTCAAGGGCTGAAAGCTAACATTTGGTCAGGACGTGAACTAAGGAAGTCAGGGGGGACTAAAAAGTGCGATGACAATTAAGATGACGTCCTAGCACACACTGATGCCAAACAAATACGCTCAGCGTCTCGCCCGGCGGCAGCGGCGCATAAAGAACCACCGCGCTCGTTCCTGCGTGACCTCCGCTGAGGGACGTCTTCCCCCGCCGACTACAGCCCCCGGCATGCACTGCGGCGCCGCCCTACGTCGGGAGGCGGGGCCCTGGAGAGAGTTGGCCGCGCTGCCCGTCCCGCGGGTCCGCACGGTCCCTTCCGCTGGGCGCTCTCCTCAAACCTGCACTGGGCATTTCCGGAGCCCCGGGACTACCGCTAGCCCGGGCGCGCCGCCGCTCTCACAGGAATCTCCCGGCCAGCGCAGCCCGTCCGACTTCCCATCAGGCTTTCACGCTCGGTGCTCCCTCAGAGATGGCATGAAGGGGTGGGCGTTCCGGCTCTAGAGGACCCCGCCGCGGCCCCGGAAGCGCCTCGTCCAGGGCGGCGGTGGCGGTGGTCGCCGTGATGCCTGCGGGATTGGGCGGCTGACCACCGGGGTAGGAGCGGGCCCCAAATCTCGACGGCCGCTGCTCGAGCGCGGCCTGCGCCATGGCCACCTCCGCCGCCTCCTCCGAGCATTTCGAGAAACTGCACGAGATATTCCGCGGCCTCCATGAAGACCTCCGAGGGGTGCCGGAGCGGCTCCTGGGGACTGGAGGGACAGGTGAGGCGGGCCGGGCCGGGGCCGGGGGCACTCGGCCCCGCGCGCTCCGGGAGGAGAAGCCCCCGCCCTCTCCCCAGGCCCGAGCCCTCTTCGCTTCTCTCCGCGTCTTCAAACACGCCCCCTCGAGCTGGCTGGGCCGGCGCCCAGGGTCTCGCTGCTGCCGCTTAGGTGCTCAGTGATGGATCTCGGAGTGCCGTTCCCTTGGGGTTCTTCGGCCTCCCGTAGCCTTCCAGTGTGTCTCGTCTCATTTTCAGTGTGTCAAGAAGAGCACAGGAGACTTGAAATCTGCGGTCCTGTATTTCAGTAGAATTGATTGCTTTAGTAGTTCTCTGTTTTGTTTTATGCATTTAAGTGATTATTCTCGAGAGGTCCATAGTTTTCCCCAGACTGGCAAAGAATCCGTAGACCAAAAGAGTGAAGAACCCAAAGGATCATAGCTTTGGGGGCTGGTAAATATCAGTTTTTTTTTGGTGGGGGGGTTAGTCTTTAAAGATCAAGATTGCGGCGTTTAGGTGTGGTCCTCTTAGGAACTTTCTGCTTAGACTAGTTCCTGCCCGTGATTTCAAAATGCAGGCTTTGCCTGGAGGAGCTAGAGCTGTCCTCTTAAATCCGTCGAAAGCACAGTTTTTTGCCCCAGAACGAAATCGATCTTGATGGCAAGGTGGGTAGGACTTTGTTTTACTGATTTTACTTCAGGGTCAGCGTTTGTGTCAGCTCTGTGTGTTATCCAAGGTCATGTGAATTGAATGACCGGTGACAATGGAATTCATACGTGTGTTTAATTCGTATTTATCGAAAGAATTTACTGTGTGCCGGGCACTGCCCTAGATGCTGTTAATATTGCAAATTACGGTGCAAAGACTTAAATCCCTGTTTTAGTGGGTTGCTGATAATATATGACTGAGGCCGTGTTAAGGGCAGCACGGGCATACCTCGTTTTATTGTGCCCCCTTGCGCTTCACGGATGTTGCATTTTTAACAAATTTAAGGCAAGACCTTCCACCTGCAAAATGATGACAACTCACAGCCCGAGCCAGTGTGGCTAGGTGGATTGAGTGTGGTCGCATGGACTGAGAGGTCCCTGTTGGAGTCCCAATCAGGGAACATGTCTGGGTTGCGGGCTCCATCCCCGTGTGCAGGAGGCAGCCTGTCGATGTTTCTCTCTCACATCCTTGTTTCTATCTCTATCTCCCTTCCTCTCTAAAAAAAAAAAATCTATAAAAACATATTTTTTAAAGCAAGATTACAACTCATTTTGTTATGCCTGTACCTACAGGAAAACAAAGCAGGGCAAAAGACTAGAGAGAGGGAGGTGCTCTGATTTTAAATGGGGGGAGGCGGGTCTGTGAAAGGCCTATTTGAAGAGGTGGCATTTGAACAGAGACTTACGTGAAGTAAGGGAGTAAACCATGAAAAATCTGGGAGAAATGAGTGTCAGGAGGATGGACTAGCACGGCAAAGATCCTAAAGCAGAAGTGAACTTGGTATGTTCTAAGCAAGAAGGCCAGTGTGTTGGGAGTGGAATGAGCAAAGGAGATGTGTGGTAGTAGGTGAGGCTGGAAAGGGCCAGATCATGTGGGACCTTGTAGACCACAGTGAAAGACTTGCATCTTTTTCTGAATGAGATGGGATGTAGTCCTCCCTCGCCACTTCGTGCTTGGACTTTCACGGCTTCACTCTATCGTGGTTTTTTCGCGGTTTTGAAGTATTAGAAAAAACCGTGAAAGTCGAAACTTGAAGTGATGAGGGGCGACTGTATAAATAAAGAATCCTACTTCACGGAAATTCATTTACCGCGGTAGAGTCTGGAACTGATTAGCGGCGATAAATGAGGGCTGAGTGTGCAGTTCAAGGTTATTGAGCAAGAGAGCGATAGGATCTGATTTACATGGTTGAAAGATATGTTTTTGGTCCTCCCCCCTACCCCCAGCCTGGTGCTGAATTAAATGTCTGTAAGGCTAAATAATGCATTCTGTTTCAAAAATAGAAAACTGAGTTAGTTATATTCACCTTTTTCATCTACCTAACCTTTTCCCCATTTCTGCAAAGAGGACAATCAAAACTATGTGAATTTCTACCCAAGCACAAAATACTCTTTAACATAAGTTGCTGGTTAACATAGTTACTTGTTTAATGGGTAAGTAAATACAATATACACATATCCCCAGGTTATAAAACGAATTTTAACAACCTTTAATCTCCTTATTCACTGTTTTGTTCCTACTGCTCAATGAATTTGTTGAATGAATTTAATTAAGCAAACACTGGGCCTCATCTCTGAATTCTTTTTTAGTTCAAGAACTACTTCATAAGTTTTCCAGAGCTTTAATTTCCATCATGAATTATTAGGTGCTGAATAATGCACATAACACAGCCCTTGCATTTAGCTTATGTGCTGTAATTGAATTAAATCATTTTTCAATAATCATTTGTTGAGAATTATTATGTATCAGTCACTGTCCTCGGCCCTGGAGAGTTCCAAGAGTTCTTCCCTTAAATGTGAATTGAGAGGCAGTATAGTTGTATGTTTAACAGCAAGGATTCTAAAGTCAGACTGCCTGGGTTCAAATCCCAGATCCTCCTTTAAGTAGCTGTGTGACCTTGGACAACTTACTTTAATCTAACTAATTTCCCCTGAAAAATGGGGATAAATCATAATATTTATTTCGTTGGGGTTTTATGAGAATTACGTAAGTTAATATTTGTAAAGCCCTTACAATACTGCCTGACAATAGTAAAAATGATTAGTCATTGATACTATTATATGGGAAGCTGGTTATTTTATTGAAATAAAACATGAGAATACCAGCTCTGTATACAACTATTTCCTTGCTCCTTCCCCCCATTTTTTCCTAGTGTACTTATCTTCTAACATACTAGACACTTTACATATTTATGATGTTTATAGTATATTATTTGTCTTTCTTTCACTAGCACAGTGGTTTTCAAAGTATGGTCCCTGAACCAGCATTATCAGCAACATCTGGGAACTTGTTAGAAATGCAAATTCTTGGCCCCCAACCAGTCATTAATCATTAACTATTTTGACAGACAGCCTCTTTTAATAGCCCTTCAGGAGATTTCTGATGTATGTCAAGTTTGCAAGTCTCTGAGCTAGAACATAAGCTCTATATTTTCTTCATATCCTCACTGACGCTTATTTCTTGTCATTTGTATAATAGCTCGTTGTGATTTTGATTTGCAGTTCCCTGGTGATTAGTGATGTTGTGTACGACCATTTTTATGTCTGGAAAAATGTCTATTCCGATCCTCTGCCCGTTTTTAAATCAGATTGTTTTTCTTGCTATTGGGTTGTATGAGCTTTTTATATTGGGGGGATATTAACCCCTTATTAGATTTATGATTTGCATATATATTCTCCCATTTGTTGATGGTTTCCTTTGCTGTGCTTTTTAGTTTGATGTAGTCCTACTAGTTTTTGCTTTGGTGCCTTTACTTTTGGTGTCTAATCCAAAAATCTTTGCCAAAATTGCTGTCAAGACCTGTGTTTTCTTCTAGGAGTTTTATGGTTTCAGGTCTTACATTCAAGTCTTTAACCCATTTTGAGTTGATTTTTGTGTGTTGTGTAAAATAATGGTTCAGTTTCATTTTTTTTGTATGCAACTGTCAAGATTTCACAACACCATTTATTGAAGAGACTGTCCTTTCCTGTGATACAATATAAAAAATATATGTTGGTTTCTGCCTTTAGTTCCTGGCATAGAGCTCCTAAAACTCTTATGATCTCCTAAATGATAAGAACACTAGGCCCTGGCAAGTGTGGCTCAGTTGAGTGTCGTCCCGTGCACCAAGAGGTTGCAGTTTGATTCCCCGTCAGGGCACATACCCAGGTTGCAGGTTACATTCCTGGTCAGAGTACATTCAGGAGGCAACCGATTGATGTTTCTCTCTCTTCTTCGCCCTTCCTCTCTCTCTAAAATCAATTAAAAATAAAAAGAACACTAGGAACATCTTGTTCTAATATTTGGTCTATGACTCAGTCCCTGACACAGAGCTCCTAAAACCTTTATAAGTTCCTAAGTGATAGCACTAGGAGCATCTTCTGTTCTAATAAGGCAGCTCTGGGTGGGCTCTTGGTGGCTCTAGAATAGGGGCTGATCACCAGAAAGGCCAACCATGATTAGAAGCTTGGATATTCAGCCCTGCTCCCCACTTCTCTAGAGAGGGGAAAGGGGCTGGAAATGGAATTTAAAAGAGATCATGCCTATGTGAGGAAGCCTCCATAAAATCCCGGTAGTATGGGATTCAGAGTTTCCAGGTGGGTGAACACATTCACACTGGGAGGGTGATACATCTGAACTCCATGGAGACAAAATCTCCCGTGCTTGAGACGCTTCTAGGCCTCACCCTATGTACCTCTTCACCTGGCAGTTTGTATCCTTTATCATATCATTTAATAAACTGGTAAACCTAAGTAAGTGCTTCCCTGAATTCTGTGAACTGCTCTAGAAAATTAATAGAATCTGAGGAGAGGGTCTTGGGAACCTCCAGTTTGTCACTAAATTGGGCAGAAGTTGTGGGTAACCTGAGGACCTACATCTGAAGGGGCAGGGACAGGCATTCTTTTGGGACCGAGCCCTTAATCTATGGAATCTGATGCTATGTCTGAGTAGTATCAGAACTGAGTTGAAATGTAGGATACCCACATGGTGTCACAGTTCCTTTTTTTTTTTTTTATCCTCACCTGAGGACATTTTTCTATTTTTTTGTTAAGATAGAGTAGGAGGGAGAGAGAGAGAGAGAAACATCAACGTGAAAGGGACACATTGAGTGGCTGCCACCTGCACGACCAACCATGGCCGGGGACAAACTGCAACCGAGGTACGTGCCCTCAGCGGGAACTGAACCCCAGTCTCTCTGGACCGCAGGCCAATGCTCTAACCGCTGAGCCAAACTGGCCAGGGCGGTGTCACAGTTCTTGGTGAGGGGGAAACCCCTCACATATTTGGTGACTAGAAGTGAAGTGTTTGGGGTGAGTA